ATTAAATTATTTTCAAATATGTTTTATATATGATTAAATTCATTCATATTTTTTTTCATATTTCTACATATTTTTTTCAACGTTCATGATTGGCACAAATTGGTTGTACCAATAGTCGAATCATTCCACTTATTAAACCGACACAATGGTATAAACCGATTTGAGAACCTTGGTCACTAATATCATGGTGATGAATGGGGGGAGTAAAATAAGGAGGAGAGAGAAATTAAGGTAATTAGAATATGTTATTGCTATTTGTCATGCTAAAATTACTATTCATCGTCCTAATTTTAATATGTAATTACACAATTGCCCATTAATGTTTGAAATCAAAATTTGTGAAACAAACACTTTTCCTTTCCCCCAATAAAATAAAATGATTATTTAGAAAAAAGAATTAAGTATAAAAAAGTCAAATAAACGAAAAAATTTGGTCAAACGAGGGTCTAACATGGATTAGCCCAGCGGTGAAACATAGCTATAGTAGATATAGTACATTCAACATTCAGTTTAACCGTTATTATGAATAAAAGTAAACTAAATTAACCAAAAATTCAAATTAACCAAAAATAGGTCAAACGAGGGTCACACCTCGGTTTCACAAGCGGTCAAATGTTGTTACAATACGTTTCACATTTGTCAAACCAAGGTTTTCCCCTCGTTTGATCGGTGAATAAAATCTTCGTTTCTTACCTCTGTTTTCGGCAATTGTCTTGGGGAAGGGGAGAAGATTATGTGCTATGTTGGGCTCAATGGAGTGATGGCTTGGTTCTTTCCTTCCGGCGATGAGCTCTCCTTCTTCTCCAGATGGAAAGGCGATGTCGGGGTCAATGGGGACAGTGGTGGCTAGAAGACGTCTTCTACTTCGGTTGGGCTTTTTTTTTATGGATTAAGGGTGACGAAGCTTACCAGCGAGAGAGGGAGAGGACTGGTTGCACCGGTGGTGGCTTACACTATTTCAAATTTCATTTTATTTTTATTTTTGTTTTGAGGGAAGAACTTGTTTAGTTGGATTTTCAATTTCAAACATAAAATGGAAAATTATATAAATTGTATATTAAAATTAGGGTGACGTGCGGTAATTTTAAGACAAACCTTTGCACTTAGTAAAAGAACACTCATTTCATTCTATTTCATCCAAAATTTTGTTCATTTGTCCAGTCAGTCGACCCCTTAGCATCCATGTCTTTGAAAGAATTAATAAAAAAAACTATCACAAACCATTGCACTTAGTAAACAATGGTCACAAATCTTTAACTTGTAACAACAAAGTAAAGAGTATACCAAAAATACTCAATTCATTCTATTTCATAATTTTTTTTGTTCATTTGTCCATTCAGCCGACCCCTTACCATCCATGTCTTTGAAAGAATTAATAAAAAAACAAAACCTAAACCAAAAGTCCAAAACAAATTAAAACCTCTGTTATGAACGCGCTGCTACGGATCGGGAAATAGCCGGAATCGACAAAGCAAGAATACGAAAGCGAGAATCGAAAACACGACACACGATTTACGTGGTTCACTAACACGATGTGTGTTAGCTACGTCCACGGGCGAGAGAGAGCCGATTTCACTATATCAAGGAGATTACAGATTACAGAGGAGTATGAGAAGTATTTATAGTACTTCTCCAATCCAGTTGTACCCATTCTCTCTCTCCTCTTCCTCTCCGCCACCATCGCCGCCCATCTTCTCTCTGCTAGCACTTGGAACCAGACTCCGACATTTTCTTGCCAAGTCCCAAGTCCAAGGTCAATTTCATATTTTACAATTGCTCTTGTAAAGATTGGCGGAGGAACCGCACTTGCATGAAGGCTTTTAGAGAGCAATAAAGAAGAGACCAAAGAAGTTCCCTCGTAATTTCAGTTCTATTGCATGGCTTCAAAACACAAGGGAGACGCGAAATCGATTGAGGAAGTTAGAGAATTGTGAGTAATGTTGATATGTAGGGATGGCAATTTCGACCTGACCCGATTTACCTGACCTGTTTGACTTGTTTTGGGGCGGGTCAAACCGCCCCGTAGGCGGGGCGGGGCGGGCATGGGTACCTCTCATCGACCCGACCTGCCCTGACCCGCCCCATTATGGACCCGTTTTTGCCTAAATTACATATAATCTTAGTCAAATTACTTAAGATTTTCCTCTTATTACATTATATTTTAGCTATAATAAAGTTGTAAATAAGTGAAAACCTCAATTTCTTCAGTAATTTAACTACATTTTATCATATTATGGTTTATTTCTTGGTCTTTCAATGAAAAGAATGAATATTTCTAATGTTTTTCACATAAATTACATACCCAATGGGTCGACCTGCCCCGACCCGCGCCACGTGATAAATTACCCGACCTGGACCCGACCTGCCATGAGGCGGGTATGGGTATCGAGATACCCACCCCGGACCTGCCCATTGCCATTCCTATTGATATGTGAGTTTAATATCTCCCTTTCGACGCTAATCTCTCTGGTCTTTCTCCTTCTCTTTCTGTGTCAATCCTGCCCCTCAATATTGGCGCCCCTTCCGCAACCTTTGTTATGTTGCTACTTCCCTGCCTCATTCCGCTTCATTTCAGTTTGGCGAGCAGGAAGGAAGAAAATAGCATGAATGGGTTGGGTTGGCGATGTGGAGATGGTGGCAACTGGCAAATGCTAGCAGAGAAAAGGTGGGTATCGATGTGGATATGGTGGCGGAGAGGGAGATGAGAGAGAGGAATGGGTTCGGTTGGATTGGAGTGGTGGGCTGATTAGGGGTTTAATTAGGTTTGTTTTTCTTAAAATTTTATGATGATTAGGACCAAATTAACTTATTTTTGGACGGAGAAGGACGAAATGACCGCTTTGGTATATGTTCAAACATATGTTACCTTGTAGTTACAAATAAAAAGTTTTGCTAAGTGTAAAAGCTTGTGACTGTTTATGTTAATTACCCGAGAAATTATTAGGAGAAGGAAAATTTGAGTGGGAGGAAAATGTTGTTTTATGAGAAAAAGTGAAGGGGAAGCGGGATGATAAAAAGTATATTGAGAAGTGTGATAGATATGTTAAATTATTAATTATGTAAGAGTAAATAAATGGAAAATATATACTTGAAAAAATATGAAAATGGATTTTATGAATAACTAACTTCTACATAACTTTGATCATAACCATTTTCATTATTTTTAAATTGAATATATATATATATGAGGAAACAACGTTATCCCTTTAGAGATTTTTATTTTCATTATTCAAGTTACGTGGCTGGCAGCCTTCTTAGGTGTTCTCATAGGACACTTGTAATTTACTAATTTTTGGGGAGAAATTATATACCCTTATGCATGCTTATGCCAAGGATTGAATCTAAACCCTAGAGATTGTTTAAGAATGTTATGTCACTACAATACAAGTCATTTTTTCTTTTTACATTGACAAAAAAATTAATTTATTGCATTAAAAACAAATTTTTCAATTGAAATAAATCTCTAATCTTGAATTTTGGTGCCGTTCCGAAGACTCCCACAACTATATATATACGGTGGCTTCTACTTATCAAGGTGAAATCCAGGATACCACATACCTTGAGTATGAAAACGCTATCTAGACCTCGAATTAGTAGGAATTTTGGGTTTGATATTATACACTAACTCTTAATGAGTGAACTCTAGATCCTAGGATGGTGCATTCATTTTCCCCTATATTTGGACGAATCATAACCGTCAATTATTGTTTCTAATTAATTGGTCTTGGGGTATAAGATTTAGAGAATTAATACCTATATTTTTATCTTTAAGGGTTAGAATATAGTATCATGTCTGAAAGATCAGTCAATTCAAGGTTCGGATAGCATTTTCATACTCAAGGTATGCGGTACCCCGGATTTCACCCTGGGTACTATAGAATTCACTAGGATGGAATCCGCATACCTTGAGTATGGAAACGCTATGCAGACCTTGAATTGACTTATATTTCGGAAATGATATTATACTCCCTTAAAGATCAAAATCTATGTCTTAATTCTCTAAATCTTATACCCCAAAGATCAATTTAATTAGAAACAATAATCGACAGTTATGAGTTCGTCCAAATATCGGCAAAAAAAATGAATGCACCATCTTAAGGTTTATAGTTTACGATTTAGATAATTAGGATCTAGGGTTCACTCATTAAGGGTTAGAGTATAGTATTAGGTCCAAAAATCCTGCTAATTCGAGGTCTAGATAGCGTTTTCATAAACAAGGTATGTGGTACCCCTGATTTCACTCGGGGTACCGTAAAAGCCAACACACACACACACACACACACACACATATATATATATATATATATATATATATATATATATATATATGGATGCTTCTATAGTACACGAGGAAAAACCTGATGTATGTCGTACACCTGGCAATCTCCACCGTCCGCATCCATCTCAACAGCCAACATAAATGAGGTAATTTATTTTTTCACGTTGGCGATAAAAATTGCTGGACGTGGACGATAAAAATTGCTGGTGTACGACATACCCCAATATATGTATGACTTTTCTTGACGATGACCATATGTCGTCGGTAATAACCATTTATGACTAAATCCGACTATTACCGGCGAAAAACGTGTCGTCACCAACGATCGCCTTTTTTTTGTATAGTAAGATAATTGGGAAATAAATTTCTAAGAAAATAAAAATATTTTGAAAATTAAATGTGTCCTGGCATGGCATATAAGTTGAGGTCATGTGTTGCCACATAATCAATAGTCTAATGTGGTTTTAACTTCAACGGACAAAGGAAAACATGGGGACGCAAATGACAAGTCATATCTATATTCGAAATTTTTCTAAGATAATTGGTATTAAAATTAAATTTTGTACATAGTTCGGGTATTCGTATTCACCCTAAATAGTGTATAAATAAAATTATTTTTCTAGTTTTGGTAAAAGAAGTTGTTCTACTATTCTGCCAGAAAAAATATTTTTTCTTGACATAGATTTCGCTTAACGATAACATAGCTTTGTCTCTTCCCCATCCCAAAACTAGGAAGAATTATCACTTTCTTGCATTATTCTTTTTTCCTCCTCCATCTCTTATTCTCAATTTCCCCAATCTGAAACCCAGAATCTTTGAATCAAATATGAAACCCAGAATTGTTGATCTCAGCCATCCATTTTCATTGGTGATGACGACTCCGCAAGCACACGGAATTCGATTTTCTTCCTAGAGAACTATGACGTATATCTCTCCAGGTTCCTCTTTAATGTAAATAATCCATTATAATATTTCTCACAAATTTTGTTTTTTTTCTCCTCCCATTGGTTTGATTCAAATCTTCCTATCCTATATTTTAACCCCTTTGTTAATTCATTTAGGGTTTAGGGACATTAATGTTCTACGAGAAAGGAATCAAGCGCGTTGCATGATTATTCATAGATTGTTTGATTAACATATGGTGTTACCACAATTCATATTCAATTGAGCGGGTCATGTGGAATGGATTATGAGGTTGGACACAAATTTGTTTATAGGGGGAAGAAATTTGGTTTTTTTATTTTTGGCTGGAGTTCTAAATTCATTTCGCGGATCAGATGATTAACATTGGTTGTTTTGATTTTTAAACTTCATTGTTGGGAATTTATTAAAAAAGAACTTCAATGGTGGGAGAGAGATTGTAAATAAGGGAAGGCATAATGGATCCTCTCTCTCACGAGCTCAATTTATAGAGGATTGAGACCTCTTATCATTAAGCTGAATGAGATCGCAATGAATGGTTTGTCAAAAATGGATTTTTCCACACAGTGGTTGCAACAACAACAACACGAGTTGACATCTAGGTTTGGTGGTAATGGTGGAGGTAGAGAGGCACATAACATATCTATGCAAACAGGGGAAGAGTTTCTCCAAGACAGATTCAATACCAGAGGGACACGTCCTGTTCCAAACGCGACTACTATTTATGACAGGAGAGCTTCATCTGATGGCGACTTAAATTACAATCTGGGTTATGAGGATGTTGCTCGTGTTATTACTTTGAAGAGAATGGACTCTAATGTTTCCGCTTCTTCAATGGAGTCCCCAAAGGAGAACGAGCATTCATGCTTTTATGATAAGATGACTTGGATTAGTGCAGAGGACAACATGAATAATGTACATAGATCAAGGAATTCTTTGGGTGAGCTGAACAATGATCGAGGTCTTGCTTTGGGTTCAACCTTTTACGGGTTGGAATCTCCTCGCGGTGACAACACAAATATTTCAGATAGACTACTTCAGGCAGGAAAAATGAAACTTCTATGTAGTTCTGGTGGAAAAATCTTGCCAAGGCCTGGGGATGGGAAGCTCAGGTATGTGGGTGGAGAGACCCGCATCATTTCCATTAGTAAGAGTCAGTCATGGATTGAACTTGTGAGGAAAACTTCTTATATTTGCAGTCAACCACACTATATTAAGTACCAGCTTCCGGGGGAAGATCTTGATGCTCTTATATCAGTGTCTTCCGATGAAGACCTTCAGAATATGATTGAGGAACACTACGGGCTTGAAAATCTTGGTGCTTCTCCAAGGCTTCGTATCTTTCTGATTCCAATGGGTGAAGTTGAAAACTTGTCATCTTTTGAGGTCACTAAAACATCCATCCAACAAAGCAGTCCTGATTACCATTATGTGGCAGCCGTGAATGGCATTAGTGACCCTAGTCCTAGGAAAATCCCCACTGACAGGTCTTCTGCAAGTGCACTACCAATAAGGTTCAGTCGTAACCCAAGTTTTTCCAAGCGTGCTCCACCTTCCATGATGCCTTTGGAAATCAATGGCGGTCTTGCTTCTTTTCAGAATATGATGTCCCCATATCCTTCTCCTCCTATCTCTCCCGTTCCTTTGTTTGCAGACGAAAGCAATACTTCTTTCATGACAACTCCATTACCAACAGAGAGTGCTGGCCTCAACACAAAGTTTCACCACCAACTCCATAATCAATACCACAACTTTCATCTCAACAACGAGCTTGGTGGCCCTTCTGGTAGTTTGAATTTTGATGGTTGCTACCCTGAAAAGCCTATGCAGAGGGGACGCCATTTCCACTCTGAATGTCCTATTTCCCACCTAGAAGACTTGAGAGGTGTATTGACTGGGTCCGCTGACTTTTTTGATCCTCCACAAGGCATTCCCCATGCATTTTCTGATTCCAAACTTCAGGATCGTGGGGAAATGTCTGCTTATTATTCAAAAGAAATGGTAAGTCTGTCACTCGAGCTAAACTTTTCTGACACACGGATATCCTCTTCTGTAACTTCTCGTCCTCTTCCGTTGTAGGTATGCGAAGCACGTCATGCAAGTGTCAAGATTGTGGATGACAGATATCAGGTCTCGAACCTTAGTAATGAACCATCATTGGCTATGGAAACTCCCATTAGATATGACCAAAATGATCCATTTCCACAGCAATGCAAAATGGGCTACCGGGAGAAACCACCTGTCCATTTTAAAAGACAACTGTCAAATTCTAACATTCAAACGCCTATAGAAGGATTTTCTACCACCATAGATCACAAACCTCATATCAATACCTCAGAGCATTTCTCAAATTATCAAATGGAAAGTGCCCCCTCAAATGTCCTTATGATGAGTCGTCTCATGACAGCTAGTCATCATAATGTTGGAAGTTCTTTGCTTGATCATGGACATCAACAATCAAGTAACACATATTTTCTCAATGGGAATGCAGTTCAACCTCTTGAAAGTCAAAGAGATAAGTGCAATAGTGAGCATCCACATATAAGGTCTGTAAATTCATTCAAATGCATTGATGACGATATTGTTACAATGGTAAACTTGTGCGAGAATGATCTTCAGAGAGCATCATGTAACAGTAACATGAGAAATGTACACTATCAAGAACCAATTTGTCTCCTTGACGATGAAGAAGGTAAATATCATCGGACTCAAAGTTTTGGCAAGTCAAGTTGTGGAGAAGCCATAGATGAGAGATCAGATACTGAAGATATTTTATTAGGGCAAACAAGAAACTCGACTGAAGAACATAACAGAAGCACACTAGTAGAGCAGAATTCAGTTGTTATGAAAGATGTGAGCACTGTTGAATCTGCAAGTAGTATTCTAGTTTCATGTGCAGAGTCTTGTCAAGTTATGATTCCAACTAGTGGTGGCTTTGCCTCTGCGACTTTAACATCATTTGAAACGACATTCTCACATGCGCAACCAATTGCTGGCAAACAAATAAAGAAAGATTTTGCACCTCCTACCACAATGAGGCTTGACAGTGTGGTTCAAGAATTTGAACAGTTTGGGGTAAGTTCCATAATATCAATAAATTATATGGCCTGGAGTTGGAGTTCTTTCATTTTAATTTCTATTAAGGTAAATAGGATTTGAACGTAGGATATTTACAGGATACAAAATCTAGTAGTGGAGAAAAAGATGGATGCATAAGTGATGTGGCCATAGCCGAAATGGAAGCAAACATTTATGGGTTACAGGTATTTTAAATAAACTTCAACGCATACATATTCTCACCTACTAAAATTATTGAAAATAAAAGAGGTCTATCAAATGCAATTGTGTTAGGGGTGGAGCTAAAATTGATTTATGCTGTTCAAGCGAGCATTCACTAAAGTTCTCTAGAAAACAATCATTTTGTTGGAAATAAATTTAATTATTTACTTATAATTGAAAAGCTAATGGTGGGCTTTTGGTGAGTATGAGCTCGTTTATGAGCTAGAATGGGAGAAGACTATTTTTATTGGACAAGAGAGAAATAGGCAGAGGAGTTTTGAAAACCTGGAGGCTTTTCTTTCTTTCTTTCTTTCTTTCTTTTGGTTTTGCTCTCTTCTTGGCTCTGCTTCTACAAAGCTAATGCACAAGCTATTTATAGGCCTTGCTCCATACAAAAATCTGCATCCACCGCCTTACTCTAGTGGTCTTTCTTTTTTCCTTATTTTTTTATTGTTACAACACCTAACAAACTCATTAATTTGACACACCTAAACAATTCTACACAATTCCATACTTACCCACATTTCTAGCATATTCTGATTTTTTTTCACAACTTAATTATTTAATTAAACTGTATTATTTTCAACACTCCCCCTTAAAGTTTAATTTGTCGTAACTCCGAGTAGTGTCCTCATCTTGACGAACACATCATGCTTTAACGGCTTCGTGAACATATCAGCAATCTGGTCTTCAGTCTACACATACTTCAGCATAACTTCTTTCTGCTCCACTCACTCTCGTAAGAAATGATATCTCGTATCAATATGTTTACTGCGATCATGAAACACTGGATTCTTCGCTAATGCCAGGGCGTATTTTTTATCCACAAAAATTTCAGTTGACTATTCTTGTGCCATGTTCAACTCCTTCGGCAACTTTCTCAACCATATCGCATGACACACACACGATGTCGCAGCAACATACTCAGCTTCACAAGTAGATAATGTCACGATAGCTTGCTTCTTTGAACTCCATGTGAAAGTTGTATCTCCCATAAAGAACACAAATCCTGTAGTGCTTTTGCGATCATCCACGTCTCCTGCCCAATCACTATCACAGTATCCAACCAATTTGAAATTTTCTGACTTAGTATAAAGTAGATCATAATCGATTGTACCTTTGATATAGCGCAGTATCCTCTTGGCAACATTCCAGTGTGACATAGTTGGCGCCTCCATGTATCTGCTGACTAATCCAACTGCATAGAGAATATATGGTCTGGTACAAGTCAGGTATCTCAAACTTCCCAAGAGACTTCTAAACTCCGTTGAGTTAACCTTCTCTCCTTTGTCATCCTTGGATAACTTCAGTCCACACTCAGCTGGTGTACTCACAGGATTACAGTTCTCCATTTTGAACTTCTTCAGTACCTCCTTGGCAAAACCACCATGTGAGATGAAAATTCCTTCCTCTTTTTGACTTACTTCAATTCCGAGATAGTATGACATTAGTCCGATGTCTGTCATCTCGAACTCACGAACCATCGTCTTCTTGAACTCTTCAAACATTTGAGGATTATTGCTTGTGAAGACGAGATCATCAACGTATAGGCAAACTATCAATATTGCTCCCCCTTGCACCTTGCATTATAGTGCATGCTCATGTGGGCATTTGTTGAATCCGTTCTGCTGAAAGTACTTGTCAATCCTGCTATTCCAAGCTCTTGGTGCTTGTTTCAGACCATACAATGCCTTCTTTAGTTTCAACACCTTATCTTCTTGACCTTTAATGATATATCAAGGAGGTTGCTCCGATATCTTCCTCGAGATATCCATTTAGAAAAGCTGACTTCACATCCATCTGATGTATCTTCCATCCATTTTAAGCTGCGAGAGATATCACCATCCTGATACTCTCCATTCTTGCCACGGGAGCAAAAACTTCATTATAGTCAATGCCTGGTCTCTGACTATATTCTTTAGCCACCAATCTTGCTTTGTGCCTGACAACTTCTCCTTTTGCATTCTTCTTCGCTATAAATGCCCACTTCACACCAATGGGCTTTTGGTTCTTAGGTAGTGACACAAGCTCCCAAGTCTTGTTCTTATCAATTGCTTGAATTTATTCATCCATGGCTTTTCTCCATTTTTCATCCTTCATGGCTTCTTCAGCATCCACCGGTTCATCATCAATGAAATGACAGTAGAGAGTCAATTCATCACCTTCAATGCTTGTTGTAGCTTCGTAAAGATCTTCAAGGTGTATATACTTTTGTGGCCTTTCTCGGGGACTTTCACTAGATTCTCCTTCTGGGCTAGCAGGCTCTCTATGACTGGGTGGACTGGATACATGTGTATTTGTATATGGTACTTCATCACTTTCATCCATAGTGAATGGATAAAAAGTGTAACTCTTCTTTGCTTCAGTAGTCCAGTCCCATGTTGCTTTTTCATCAACTACCACATCTCTGCTGATGATCAGCTCCTCTTCCACGGGATCAAACATTTTGTAACCTTTTGAGTGTTTTGAGTATCCCAGGAATATGTACTTCTTTCTTTTGTCATCCAACTTCTTCCTTTCTTAATCAGGTACGTGCACATATCCGACACTTCCGAAGACTCGGAGGTGAGAGATTGTGGGTTTCCTTCCGCTCCATGCTTCTTGGGGTGTTTGATTCCAAACACTCTTTGATGGTGACCTGTTCAGCAGATAGATTGCACAATCAACAGCTTCAACCCATAGCTCTTTTGGCAGGTTCTTGCTCTTCAACATGCTTCTCGCCATGTTGAGTACAGTTTTGTTCTTCCTCTCAACAACTCCGTTCTGCTGAGGGGATCGTGGGACTGTGAGAAACCTGCGAATTCCTTGATATTCACAGAACCTTCTGAACTTATTGAGCATAAATTCTCCACCTCTATCTGATCTCATTGCTTTGATGTAGCGGCCACTTTCATTCTCCACGAGCATCTTAAACTTCTTGAAAGCTTCCAATGTATCTGACTTCTGCTTCAAGAAGTAAACCCAAGTCTTTCTACTGTAGTCATCAATGAACAGTAGGAATTATTTGTTCTTTCTGAACAATGTTGGGGTGATCTATCCACAGAGATCTGCATGGACGAGCTCAAGTGGTGTTTTAGCTCGTGATAGGGACTCCTTCGGGAAACTTGCTCTGGATTGCTTTCCAACTAAGCATCCTTCACACAACTGATCTGGATGATTGATCACTGGCAGACCATGCACCATCTTCTTCTGACCGAGCAACATTATGGTTCTCGACATTGGGACTCTGGCTAGCAACTGCTTCTTCTCGTTTAACAGCTCCAATTGATGATTCACCATATGAACTTCATAATTTTTCTCCATCAGCTGACCCAAACACAGGATGTTACCCGGACATAGTACACATCACTGATAAATTGTTGTGAGCCATTCTTCAACCAGATGAGTATAGTTCCTCTCCCTTTGATAGGAACCTTCGAGGAGTCTCCAAATACGACATTTCCTTTCACCAATTCATCCATATCCACGAACATGTTTCTTTTTCCACACATGTGGTTGCTTGCTGCATTATCCAGATACCACATGTTGTCTCTCGGTTTTTCATCTCCTTGATGTGACAACATCAATGTGCCTTTGACTTCTTCTTCTTGCACGTTGTTTGCTGTCTCCTCCACTTCTTTAGGCGGACTCCAACAGTCTGATGCATAATGCCCGTACTTCAAGCAATTATAGCATTGGATGTTGGATTTATCAAGACCTTCATTTGATCTCCAACTTCCTCTTCCACGTCCACGACCACGACCTCTGCCTCTGGTAGACGTTTCATAATTGTTCGTGGTGAAATTTCCTCCACCTCTACTTTGATATGCTCCTCGGGCTCTTCCTCTTCCTCTGCCTCTGTAGTTTCCTTTGCCTCGACCTCTGTACGGACCTCCTCCTCGAGCACCTTCTTTCTCCTCAATGGTAGCTTTTGTAGCTAACACTTGCTCTGACGATTCTTCATTTCTTTTATTTAGTCTTTCCTCTCGTGCTTGCAATGAGCCGATGACTTCATCCACTGTCATTTTTGACACGTCCTTAGCTTCCTCCATGGCCACCACCACATAATCAAACTTCGGTAATAATGATCGTAGAATTTTCTCCACAACTTTGGTCTCTTCAATTTTCTCCCCATACTGCTTCAGTTTACTGGTGATAGACTTCACACGGGCGGTGTAATCTGAAACAGATTCACCTTCCTTCATTTTCATAGATTCAAAATCTCCCCTAAGTGTCTGAAGTCGAACCTTCTTTACTGGTTCCACGCCTTGCATTTCCTTTTGCAGAATCTCACATGCTTCCTTAGCTGTGGTAGCATCTGCTATTTGATCAAACATCGATTCATCAAGACATTGATGAATTAGAGTGAGTGCCTTTTGATCACTCTTTCTATTTTTTTTCTCAATACCTCCTTTTCAGCAGGAGATAACCGAGAATCCTCTGCGGGAATCTCATAACCTTTCTCAATAATATCCCAAACATCTTAGGATCCTAGCAAGGCTTTCATACGGATGCACCAATTTTTGTAATTGTGGTAAGGTGGGGGAATTTAATGGGGAAAGTGGATTTTTCGGTCATGGTACAATCGTGATAACAAAAACACGAGAAATTCTTTTCTGATGTGGAAGTTCAGACTACGCTGCAACCACAGAGCATACTTAGGAATAACTCGGGCTCTGATACCACTTTGTTGGAAATAAATTTAATTATTTACTTATAATTGAAAAGCTAATGGTGGGCTTTTGGTGGGTATGAGCTCGTTTATGAGCTAGAATGGGAGAAGACTATTTTTATTGGACAAGAGAGAAATAGGCAGAGGAGTTTTGAAAACCTGGAGGCTTTTCTTTCTTTCTTTCTTTTTTCTGGTTTTGCTCTCTTCTTGGCTCTGCTTCTACAAAGCTAATGCCCAAGCTATTTATAGGCCTTGCTCCATACAAAAATCTGCATCCACCGCCTTACTCTAGTGGTCTTTCTTTTTTCCTTATTTTTTATTGTTACAACACCTAACAAACTCTTTAATTTAACACACCTAAACAATTCTACACAATTCCATACTTACCCACGTTTCTTGCATATTCTATTTTTTTTCACAACTTAATTATTTAATTAAACTTTATTATTTTCAACACATTTATGTATGTACTATATAATTTGAATTAGGTGTAATATTTATGTAGAGAAAATATACTTCAAAATTTCTTTTGACAAGATAAACTTCAATGGGTAAGTAGAACATTAGTATAAGCTACTTCTTTCATAATTTAGCAAAATAATGAAATTATACATATACATATAAGTAGGTTTTATGACACACTCACAACAATGCGTGCATACTATATACACCTAGTTCTAAAACTAGCTTTAAGATATCAAATTTAAAATTTAATTGCAAACACAATTTTAATATGATGATATAACATAGAGTTACAACTACTCCATGCATTACTCTAAGCTAAAGGCAACAAATGGATTTGATTCATAAGTTGGTGAATCAATGGATTAAATGAATCGAGGATTCATAGATTGGATCAAATGGATTGGATCATGGATCCAAGTGATATCTAAAAATTAGAATATGTAAATTTTGAAATGATTAGTTACTAAAATGTCATATAAAAAATATAGGTACTAAATTTATTAGCAATCCATGAAATTGATCCATGATCTGCCAATCGAATTGGATTTGGATCAAATGGATCGGATTTAAATATATTAGATTAGTTGGATATTTAAGTGAATTGGATTGGATTGAGAGCTTTACCGTAAGCTCTAAACCTTAAATTCTGGACACTAACCATAAATCCTAAATTCTAAACCCTAACCCTAAATATATAAATCCTAAATCCTTCAAATCAATGTAAATTTTGATTTTTTGTGAAAATACATGCATTTTCTGGTCTATCATATCACAAGTGACGATTGATATGGTTTGGACTTGAACGCTTGTGCGAATGAAGATTATGTGGCAGGTGCATAGTATACACAAAAAGAAAAAGAGTTCAGTGAAGAAAAAACCATTTATTATATATGCTATATATGGTTTAGGCTGACTACACTAACCTTATAGTACGCCATCGAGTTATGTTATTTAGAACATGACTAATAAGAGCTTGGGGTATGATACTATATCCTAACTTCTAATGCGTGAACTCTAAATTATAAATATCTAGCAAAATCAATTTAATTAGAAATCAGAATTGATATTTATTATTCATCTTAGTTTATAATAATACATATGATAGGTGTGAACGTTGGTGTATATCACTATACGCGGAGCATATGTTAACCTTTATATATAGGTAAAAAGACAAGAAAAGTATTGAACATGGGATGATAATAAGTATGTTAGTACCTATAACTTAGACTTTCCCATGATGATTGATGTGTAGATCATAAAGAATTCAGACCTTGAGGAATTACGGGAGCTAGGATCTGGTACATATGGAACTGTATATCACGGAAAATGGCGAGGAACAGATGTCGCAATCAAAAGAATAAAAAAGAGTTGCTTTTCTGGGAGGTCATCAGAACAAGAACGATTGGTGAGTCCTCCCACATAATCTTATGACTTGCTTCCATTTATGGTTTTCTTTTAATTCATCCATTGTTCTATCTTTCTCAATTTTCACATGATTAGGAGAGTAGTGCTCCAATACGTAAAAATCTAGGACTAAAAGCAAAGTATAAATTTCATGTTCATACTTCAAGTTATTATAACTTTTCCAATTGCTAGCATGTTTTATGAGTCGCTTGACGTAAAATATAATGTTCATTATGTAATATTTACGTAGTGTTTATGAATCTTGTGTAACAATTGTAAATAGTGTTACATAATACTTACATAATAAATTTCCTTTTATGTAATGCGTATTAAGGAGTTTATAAAGTCTAAAGGAATTATAGAAGTTCTACATAACATGTACGTTAAACTATTACAAAAGAAATAAAGGACATAACGTAACATTTTCATAATCTATTTTTATTTGACGTAACACTTGTAGAATAGTATTATGTACGACATACATAATAGATGTTCTATCTAAGCAATGAGTATTAACACGAAGTTACTTAAAGTGAATATCCATCACACAATAATGTTGACACGGATCTTAGACACCCACGCCTACTTGCAACAGGTAGAAACTCAAGGATTGAGATTATAGAATTAGAGATTTAGATAGTAAGGGGAAAAATTGGGGATCAGAGAGTAAGAAGGAGAATTGTGCATAATAGAGAAGAATGACCGAAGTCTTTAGGCATGGTAAAGACCGATTTCAGAGGATAGGGAGATCAGGGTTTTGAGATATTTTCTCAATAATACTCTGTTTATTGATTTCTCATAATTTGACCAAAGACACAAAGTAAATATATATAGGAAATACTTGAATAAATCTGATATATATCATAATACTAATCGACTACTACTAACCCTATCATTAATTATCATAATAATAATAATAGAAATTAACTGAGGTCGGGTTTCTATCACACATTTCTCATGTAACACAACTGTTAAGTTGTTACAGAACAAATAACCGACATCATCTACGTAATCTATTTGTATTTATAAACAATTTTAGAATATAGCGTTACGTAAACCTTATGTAATAGATTTTCTCTTTAAGTGATGAGTATTAACATTGAATTACATAATACAGTTGTTAAACGGTTCAAAAGAAATAACTGCCATCACATTCGATTTACATAATCTATTTGTAGTTACAAAAATCATATAAAATAGTGTTTCGTACGACTTACATAATAGATGAGTTTATCCGTAATGAGTATCACCATGCAGCCACATAAAGTAAAATTATATTACGGAAGTCTTATGTAACAATATTCTACAATTGTTATGTAACACTAGCATACATTACATAAAATGTAACATTTTACATAATGCAACCTACAAAGGAGATGATATAGCATGTCTGACTATTCAAGTTGTAATAACTTCCAGGTGTGGTAAGAGTTGCACGAATATATATAAGAGACTATATTATTCTATGTTAGTTTTTAAAACCATTTAGTAGGCAGTTGATCCGTGTTCATTAAAAAAACAGTAGTTGATGAGTGGGATGGAGCTTCACACAATAGTTTATCCATTATTATAATATTCATTTTTTACGTTAGGCAAAAGACTTTTGGAGAGAAGCACACATCCTCTCAACTCTTCACCATCCTAATGTGGTCGCATTTTATGGGATTGTACCTGATGCGAGTGGAGGAACCTTAGCTACTGTAACTGAATTCATGGTTAACGGATCACTTAGGCATGCCCTACTCAAAAAGGAAAGGTGAGTTTAAAATATAGCTAGTGATTAATAAAGTGCACAATGTACATCATTAGTTATAAGTATCAAACTAATAAGATACTTGTCTTTGTCTTCATTTAGATCTCTCGATCATCGTAAAAAGCTTATGATTGCAATGGATGCTGCTTTTGGCATGGAATACTTGCACTCAAAAAGTATTGTTCATTTTGATCTAAAGTGTGATAATCTGTTGGTAAATCTAAGGGATCCACACCGACCAATATGCAAGGTACCAAATTCATTCCATAGTCACTATCGCAATGAATTTTTAGCTAAGATGTAGCATATAGCTCATTTCTTAATCAATGATGAAGTAATAAAATGCAAGTATCACTTACTAGGGAACCTTTGTCATTTGATTAGTGCATTTAGCTTAATTTATCAAATTCATATGTGAGGAATATATGAAAACTAGTGCTAAACACACATAGGAGGGTATATTGTGGAATTGTTAAGCTATGATGGTATTCCTTCCAAGCTACTGCAACCTAAAACAGAGTGTTGCATACTATTGATTAGGTTGGAGATTTTGGGCTATCAAGAATCAAAAGGAACACTCTAGTATCTGGTGGTGTACGGGGAACTCTTCCATGGATGGCACCAGAACTATTAAACGGAAGCAGCAGTCGAGTTTCTGAAAAGGTCTTTGTTTCATCATTTCCCCATTTTCGTGATTGGCTTCACAAAAGCATCAATGAAAGCTCTGCAAGAAGCCAAATGGAACAAGAAGTTAACAAAAAATGTGAATGGTTGATATATGTAGGTTGATGTTTTCTCGTTTGGGGTGTCAATGTGGGAGATCTTGACAGGGGAGGAACCTTATGCTGATATGCACTGTGGCGCAATAATTGGTAAGTGTTTATCTCTATATATTCTTTCTCTCGTCATCTCCCTATCTCATTCTTTTTCTACATTTCCATATGCATGAAGGTGGTATCGTAAAGAATACCCTGCGGCTTGCAGTACCGGAAGATTGCGATCAAGATTGGAGGGAACTGATGGAGCAATGTTGGTCCCTTAATCCAGATTCTAGGCCGTCCTTCACTGAGATAGCAAATAGGTTGCGAGTTATGTCTGTGGCACTTTTGGCCAAGGCATCAAGTAATCAAACTAGACCATCCAAGGGATCAGCATCATAAATTTCCTTAGATATAAGGACGACGTGAGGTATATGTATATATAACAGAAAGAGTGTGTGATCATGGATTTAAGAGAAGAGCTTCCTACATATCATGTGATTAATCATCATTCTTAATTTTTGTCCCTAGGCATTAAATTTCTTCCTTTGCTTATCCATCAACAACCCTTCATTGTTTGTTGTAGCTTAATGTTTTGTAACCTAAACAAAAAAATGATAAATTGTGTAAAGAAGGAGTAAGTTGTGAATTAATTAATTTTGGATGAAAGGTAATATTATTAATTAATTTTGGTTGAAAGGTAATATTATTAATTGAGGTTAGAAATTTGGTACCGTTGCATAATTTTTACCTACAGGACTATTATTTACTTTCACTAACCTACCAGGCCTTCTTCAACGTGTGGCGATCAGATTAAATAAAAAATTGAAAAATAAATTCACTTATATAGTGCAATTAGATAGTCAAATCAATTTTCATACAATTTTTTGAGTGTTTTTGTCTTGCCAAGTCCAACATGTGGCACCATTTTGACCATGTTAGGACTCTTTCTTTACCTCCACACTCTCTCCATGTTGTTGGGAGTGTGAGAACCGAGGCTTACGAGCATCACCAACATGTATGCATATATTTGGTTTGCCGAGATCATGATTTTTGCACCTGTCATACCACAAATTTACATGTTTTGAGATTCCATGTGAGTTTGGGATTTGCTGTGTAGTGGATTTGCCCCTCTGTCCACCATTCATGGAAAACTTGCTCCTTAGGAACACCAATATGGCAATTCCATCTTCATGTGGTGTTTAGTTGGGTTCGCTCACCTATCTACTTAGTGGAGTCTTTGGGACAATTACACAGAGGAATCTATTGAGTTATCCAACCTTCATGACATTGGGATTTTTCATGTGGTCACCACCTCCGCATTGAGGATAATTCATGACAATCATTGTCTTATTTTTCCTAGAACAGGGTGGATGTGGCAAACTTCCATGCCACTTGCGATGTTGTTTCTCCTTCAATCTGCTATGCGGTGGGATCTCATGCTCCCTAGCGGCTTAGATTGAACACCACTGATATTGGTTTGACAACACATTACATGTGAACTTGCTATAATCAACATGCTCGTGATAAGGTTGTCCACCCTGATTCTTGTTTTCATTCTTACTAGAACTACGATGATGTAAACCCCTTTGCAATGGCTTTCACAAGCCACCTCCAACTTATGTGTCTTTAAGAACAATGTTGTTCACAAGAAAAAACACGTTGGGTTTGCTCGCTTTTGGCAACACTCTTGTAGCCATAATCAAAAATAAAATATCAAAATCATGAATATATTGATCCATCTTCTAAAAATTTGATCCAAGTATCTTTTAGAATGTTGTGCAGAAGAATCAAACTAGAGGATTACCTATTGGGGAAACATGCATGTAGTAGTGACATCCATGTTTGCCAAACCTGAGAGTTGCTTCACTTTGCCACTGTTGCTTGACATCTCATGGCCAAAAACGACGTATTCCTCCATCATAGAGATTGGTGGAAGTCCACCTTCTTATTGTCCACACCGCAGAGCCTATTCGAATCAAACACACGTGTCCCACCAGGTGTGCCAAATTTTTTCGCGGTGGAAACTTTATAGTGTTGATTGATTGATTAAACCTATGACTTCAAAAAATCAAGATGATCAATAATATGGTTCTCACCTCTTTAAACAAGGTTCGAACGAGGATGTTTGAATTTTTGGAAATCTACGTTAAATTAGGAATACTTCTATGAAGATTCCTCAAGAGAGCTCTGGGACTACGAGTACAGATACGTCTATGGAGATCATTTATGGAAGGATAGGTCTGCAACTAGGAGTTACAAAGAAAAGGTAAAGTTGGACGGAGTTGTTCTGTGTTTGATTTGTATTGTCCTCTTTCTATCTTTGCTTCAGTGGTTTTATCTAAGAGCATCTATGTAGCCTTCATGATAACTCCTCAGTGAAACTATCTCGCACTCTTTTCCAATGTAACAGTCTTTGTTTCGAAGTTGTATTATTCAACAGATGTGCATGTCCACCTTAGACACGCGTGCACACAAACGAACCTGAGGCAAGGATCAGTATCGCACTTCGAACAACGATGTTGTTGTCTCGTAGCTGCTAGCCTAAACAGAACCATATCGTTGCTTGACACTATGTTGTTTTTAATTTAACGATGTATTGTTTGTACTCCACGACATTATACTTGCAAAGTCGTTAGACCCATAAAGTTGTAATCCATCGTGATGTTGCTGAGCTCACAACATTGTTAACCTTGTGATGCCGGTGAACTCATGCATCGTTGAACTCGCAACACCACTGTCACCCACGAGGTTGTTTAACTCTTAGCATCGTTAACCTCGTGACGCCACAATAATGTGTTAAGTAAGGCCTAAGTATTATAAGTTAAACATGGGGTTTTCCCCAATTAATACTACGATGTTAATGGATAGATAGTTTCCTTGATTGATAGAGAGAAAAATCAAAAAGAGATTGCGAGACGATTGGAGAGGGGTAGAGAGAGCTTAAGAGATGGTACTAAAAACTAGCTAACTGGTGGATTTTCTGAAATTTGATTGATAAAAAAAGATATTGGGTGTTGGAAAATACCACTGTTACGGAGAAATAATTAAAATAATAAACTAAAGGGTATGGTCACCTTTTACGGTTTTACCCCATAATTTAGGCGCTTATGTGCTAAAATAATCATACATAGACCACATTGTGATATATTTTATGCTAATATGAGTTCATATTTATAAGCCATAAGCTTTAGCATGCTTTAGGTTGCTGTGAGTGGTTTTCATAAAGTAACTACCTTATTTTGTCATGTTATAGGCTTACTTGGTATTTTGTCACGTCATAACCACATTAAGGGCAGATTAAGTCGTGAGCTAGATCACAACACATGTCATGGCCGTAACTTTTCCCTTCAGTCGGGAACGCAAGCAACAATGGAGCAGAACATCTTGGATCCTGACTCATGGCCAAGAAGGGCCAACCGCAATATCAAAATCACGATATGTGACAACTTCTTCAAACTAGTGTACTTGACTCATGCTAAGACTACAATGTCCAAGTCCAACCAATGACACGATTGCAGTAAAGTGGAAGTAAGTTAATTATCAATCCAGGGTCTCTAGATGTATTACTAGTTAGCGGATATAGTAGTGCGCAATGCAGTCAAAAGCGCGATTCTATGTAGAAGCGGAAAAGAGGTAAAATCGTAAAGCATAGTATCAAGGCGTAAAAGCATAACTTTTCGAAGCATACTGTAAAATAGATAAAAATATGTTAAGTACGACATATACTATGTAAAATATGAGTGCACTAAATTTTGATAAGTTAATAAATACCTGATTTATGTCTAAAGTAGAGCAACTCATATCATCTTAACAATAAGTTCATAAACATAGATCTTAACAATAAGTCACCTTCCCCTCTATGCTAATTAATGAATTTAGGAAGGGCCTAACTGGTGAATTAGATTGATCTATTGAAGCTGAAAATGCATCCATGTAAATCTCAAATGTGTCATATTGTTGGTGATTTACTTTTAAATATATTTTTATAATTAATTTCATGAAACGAGTAGACATCTAGGGAACTAGAAGCGTAAAAGCGTTTAGATTAACTAGAAGCGTAAAAGCGTAAACTTTTAAGCTTTAAAGCACAATTTAGTACGGTTTTATACAATAAATTTTATATAGAAACAAAAGCGTTTAGATGACGTAGAAGCGTAAAACCGTAAGTGTTTAAGTGCATTTTAACTGCATTGGTGGTGCGTATAGTTCTTGCACCATACTCCCAAAGGGCCATTGAGTGCAGAATGGCCACTTTGTATGTTGTTTTCCTTGGTAACTTTGTCGCGCTTCTTTATCATCTGCTTATAAATTTCTGCATGGTAGAATCCTTGATTGATTGCTTCCAGTAGACTCCTATGGTGATGAGTTACTGGAAAATCCTCTTACTTTGCCCTATATATTGAATTTTAGGTTTTTGGTCGAGTATGGTCGTCCCCATTTAAGAAAAATCCTAAGTTTTCTGAAATAGTGCAAAAATCCGACTTCAAACAGGAGAATGGCCACGGTATTGCTCTAGACCATCTTTGGCTCTAATTTAATATTTTTTCTTCTTTTCTTCGAGTTTTCCAAGGGTGAATCATTTCGGAGCATGCCCGCAAAACTGTCATGTCCTAGACTGTGTTGGGCTCATAAAATATATTCAAATCACGTCCAAATGCTCTTCATATCATCCCGAACTCCATAACTTCCATCTTTTGTGAGTTTTCTGACCAAATATAGGGTTGAGAAAATAGACGAGACCGTTTGAAAAACCATGAACCAAACCGGTACAGTCTGGTCCAGACCGTAGACCGTCTATATGGTATGGACCAGACCGCACCATTTCCCAGCCCTAATAGTTCGGGCATAAATATACACACTTTACCCCTCATTTATTGATAGTTTGACTTTCCATTTCGTCATATCTCGACCTATTGTACGGTAAATTGTGCTACGTTTTATACATTTCAGGTCCTAGCGTGTGTGGGAAGGTCGAGGACAAGTTTAGGGACAATTGGAGTCGATAAAGCGCCAAACAGTGAAGTAAAGTGAAGAATAGTCCAATGTCACGGGCAGAGGTCAAATGTCACGGTCAACAGACCTTGACAATTGATCACTGGGCTTGAAAATCAATTGTCACGGGCAGAGGTCCAATGTCACAGTCATAAGACCGTGAAAATCTCCCTTTGAGCGTGACATTGTCTGCTTCCAGAGCCTTTTCAGATGTTACTGATGCCCGAGTGGTTCACGGATTGTTGACCGTGAAAATCATCTGTTGACCATGAAGATGGACCAAAATGACACCACTGACTGTGTTTTGGTCCAATATCAAGGTCAAGGCTCCAATGCCACAGCCATGACTTTTGGGCTCTATAAATAGAAGGGTGTTGGGAGAGAGAAAGGAGAGCTTTTGAGCTCATTTCAAGCTAGAGGATTGAAGGTTTCTTCTTCTCGATGGAGATTCAAGCAAGAAGGAAGGAAGATTGTCATCTCTTCATGGTTCTTTCTCTCCTTTTTGTTGATTTCATTTGCCTAGCTATGGAATAGCCTACCTACTCACTTGGTTGTTGTGAACCTTAGCTTGAAATAGGTGATATATTGTATGGATTGAATGCTATGTGTGTGGGTTTGTGTTTAATGCAAAGTTTGAGGTATTTTCATGATGCTTGGGTTGTGTTCTTCATTTCTCA